TTTTTTTTTTTTTTTGGTGTAGTACGTGGACTTCACATAGTCTATACAAACATGAAGTACATCAACATCCTACTAGAAAAAGAGACCTTTACCACACACATTTCAAGCAGTGGTGAGATGGCATTCCTCTTGGTCAGTGTGTAGAAAGTGAAAGTCAAACTCTGAATAGGTGTTTCCACGTTTTCATACTTCAGACTCTGCCATGCCTTATTTTCCTCACATACAGGAAGGTCGCAGTGCAACTGAGAAGTTTATACTTAGTAAATCTGTCGGTAACACCGTCTGCCAGTATGAAATGTGAAATATTGCACTTATAGTAATGATTTACACTTTTGTCTATTTGAAACTGTAACACTCAGGCTGAAATAGCTGGTTGTCTCATTGCTGGACTTTTACTCACTGCCGTCTGATGTTTTCTATACATGATTCTGTAGTGGGTGTGGATGAAGTCTGCCCTGTTTTCGTCTGGATGAAAATGATGACTGGTTTCGTGACAGGAGTTGTAATACCCCGCCAGGAACTTTTAGTTAGTTGCAGCTTCTTACTAGAATAGTCTCCAGAACTCAAGGGAACAATTTAGCCTAAAATTCAGTATGAATAAGTACAAAATATCTGTGCATGTCTTTATTATCCAGGTTAAACTAACTAGCAGAAGTTGTCATTTTTAGTGGAGCCCTACTGTTTCATATTATTTTTTACTGTTAAGTGTGTGTGTATTATGTCAAAGCTGTTCACGTTAACTAGCTAACATTGATAACATGCTGTGATATAATTCAACAACAGCTCGCAGTGTATTTCTGTCTTCTGTTTGTGCGGCAGATGAGCCCCTTCTTTAAAAAAACAACCTCACATTTCATGTGACGTCATTCACTCTCCAGGTTGCTCCAGAGACCTTACAAACACAACCTGGACTTCATTGATGCCGTCAACTCAGTTCAGAGATCCTGGAAGGCTGTGCACTACCCGGAGCATGAGATGTACACTCTGCAGCAGCTGCACTACCGAGCAGGGGGGCCCGCCTCCCGTATCCCCATGTGAGTATTCACTTACCATGGAGGGGAAAAAAAACATCAGTGCACATAAGTTTGTCATTTGTGTCTAAATTAATGACTGATGCACTCAAATTGTTTTTCTCCTTGAATCCTTCTGTCCTGTCACATGTCCTGTTCATTAGGTTGGCAGGTGTATGAAACTGCTTTTATACACTCCCAGTGCTCAATCAGCACCTAAACAGACAAGTCTTAACGGCAAGATGGTTGCTAATATGGCCCCTTGTATTACTTTTAATGGAACGTGTGTGTGTGTGACAGGCTCCGAATTCATTTGGCTATAATCTGCATCCCCAATCAGTCTGTGTAAAATGATCACATACTTTACCAATAATAGAAGTGAGGCCAGCACAATCAACACATGCTGGACCTGAACTCATCGGTTCAAATCAAAATCATCAAATATTACTTTGGGCAAAGAAGTTTACCATCCTTTAATCCTGTTTGTCAGTGTAATTTACCTTATGTGATTCTTTATTTTTACTTAGGCGTGTTCGCCCTATGCCCGTGAAAGCTGATGTAGCCAAGATGGCGGCAGCCCTACCGGAGCGTTGGGATTGGAGGAACGTTGACGGTGTTAACTTCGTCAGCCCTGTGCGAAACCAAGGTGACCTTGAAACGCAGCTTTTGATACTGTTGGGTGCTTAATTAGTTAACATGGTAAAAATCAACATTATAGGGAGGGAGAGAACTGTATTGTACCTGTGCACATGTGCTGTTAGAAATGTAAAAACAAAGATGCAGACAATGTAAATCAGAAGACTTGAGAGATCAGAGGCAGACAAAGCTGTACCTTTACACTTGAGCAGCTGTCAGTAAGAACAGAGACCAAACAGCAGCTCGCCAACTACTTTGCTTCCCTCTTGGCAGGCCTGGGTCTGCTCTCTGCTCTCCTCCTGTGTTTCTGCACTGCCTAGTGTGTGAGTGGAGAGATTATGCGTGCTGAGTAGTTTGAGTGTCTGAGAGGGCCTCTGTAGGGCTGGGTTTAAGGATCTGGAGAGGGCTGGAGTGTTTCAATAGAAGCCCTCTAAGCCACTGTGTAGTGTTGGGGAGCTTATTTTGCTTCAGTGTAGTCAGGTGGATTTTTTTTTTTTTTTTTTAGGTTCCATTTCACTTCACAAAAATTGGTTGAGGATGAATTGGTCTGGCTGGTCTTAAGTAGGAGCATGGCTGTGTCTTAACCTTAACTTAAAGTGAAGACACAGCTGGCATTGTAGCAACTGAAAGCTTCATCATACCTACTGTGAGAGAGCTCTAATGTTTGTGTCTTGTGAGTCAAGCCAGCCAAACTTTTGTCGTCATACTTTTTGACAAAATCCTCCCAGAAACAGATTGCGTCATATATTAAGAAAATGGGACCGTAGAAGTTTCCTACCAACATGGAGCTTTGATTTAAATGACTGGTTGTTACACCTCAATAGTCTTAAGAGACTTAAGAGAGTCTTGGACCCAAATAAAACTGTTCTCAGTGTCACCCTGACTTGAATCATTACTACAATTAAACCACCCTGCAGTTCCCTGAAGCCTCTGTTCTCTGACCTAATTTGTTTCTGCAGAGTATTTTATTAAGCTATGGATGGCAACCAGTGGCTTTAATCAGGGTTTCTATTGTTACAACTAATGCGGATAAGGCAGCAATATTATAGAAACTAACTTATGTAATGTATTCTTGAACAAATGTACTGTTAAAGTGCACAGAGTTAACGATTTATTAGAATTTTTTATTTTTTTTTTCAGGGGTTTTGTATCAGGTTGCGCTGGTGTAACCTTTTTGAGGTCATTATTAGTTGTCTTATAATATGTGATGCTATCTAGTGCAACATCACCACTAATTGCAGGATACAAAAGCTTACTGTAATCCATTACCCTCCAAATCCTGATGAAATGACCAGAGTTGACTCAAACAATCAAACATATGATTTATTCCAGTGCTGTTGTGTTGCAGCAGTGTGATTGAACTCGTTCGAACCTTGGATTTTTTTTTTTTTTTTAGCCTCATGTGGTAGCTGCTACTCCTTTGCCACCATGGGAATGCTGGAAGCTCGTGTTCGAATCCTCACCAACAACAGCCAGACTCCCATCCTCAGCCCGCAGCAAGTGGTCTCCTGTTCTGAGTATTCTCAAGGTAAATTAACGCTCAATCTAAAATCCATCGTGTTTCCTGACCGTATCAGTTCATTTTATATTACAATTTGATGCAGGTTATTGCAGATATGAATTATTGGGCAGCAGCTAGAAAATGTATTTGGTAGAATATTCATACTGTGAGACACAATAATCATAGAAAAGTGCCGTACTGCTGGATGTAGAAAACTCTGGGTGCTTAAGTGTTTTTTGGAAAGTGTATCCTAACTGCCTTTAGAAAGTCCAGCGTTGCATAATTGGCCTGATTAGCACATCGGCATTAATTATTTTGAAGAGTCCTGGAAAATATTTTTTCCATCTAGGACCACATAAGAGATCTCACCCTGTAAGAAAGTCAAGACAACTTCCCCAAAATATGTCTTTAATAATGAGAATTCAGAATTTTATACCTATTTAACATTCATCTCTCCTCTTTAAGGTTGTGATGGTGGATTTCCATACCTGATCGGGAAGTATGCGCAGGATTTCGGCCTTGTGGACGAGTCATGCTTTCCATATATTGGCAAGGACTCTCCGTGTGGCCTTCCACAAAACTGCGGCCGCATCTACACGGCAGAATACAAGTACGTCGGTGGATTCTACGGCGGCTGCAGTGAGATGGCCATGATGTTGGAACTGGTCAAGAATGGACCCATGGGAGTGGCCTTTGAGGTACTGTGTGTGTCGACCAAACTATCAGTATCCCTGTCAGTGCGTCTTATAGTTTCTGTTCGGTTTAATCTGTGTTGTCAGAAATTTGGCTTTTAATCCTTCATTCATTTTAGTCAAATCTCTGCTGCTATGTCTTGAAATTGAATTTAACTAGACACCTCTTTTATCTACTTTTAAGTTAAATCTGTCTGCTACTCCAAAAGCATCTGACAGATAAATCTAATAAGCAAAAGATATTCAGGAAATAAAAAATGTTTTTGGTTTAACACCAAAGAAAAGATTACATTCCTGCTTTCTATTGTGTGCAAAATAACACGTTTGGCAAATAGTTCAGTTAGTGAATGTCAACCACTTGTAGTCTTAATGGTCGGTGTTAAAAAAGCTTCAAGCTATCATTACCCTATTACCCTATATGGGGTAGTTTTGTCACTCTAATTTAAGTCACTCAACATATTATGTCAACCACTCTTAACATTTGCTAATCCTAACCCCAAACCACCGCTACATTAGCAAGTGTTTCCCTCTAAACTGAATAATTTATTGGTAAAATTACTTTTTTTTTTTTTTTTCTTTTATGAAATGTATTGTGTACTTTTTCCTTTACAGCTCAGCAGACCTTCTATTCCTTTCATGAATTTGACTTGTATTGTATCCTTCCACAGGTCTACCCTGACTTTATGTACTACAAGGAGGGCATCTACCACCACACAGGCCTCGCAGACAACTTCAATCCCTTTGAGCTGACCAACCACGCTGTGCTGTTGGTGGGGTACGGCCGCTGCCACATGACCGGACAGAAGTACTGGATTGTCAAGAACAGCTGGGGCACCACCTGGGGCGAGGACGGCTACTTCCGAATCCGCCGGGGAAGTGACGAGTGTGCCATCGAGAGCATCGCAGTCGCAGCCAACCCCATCCCCAAACTGTAGAAGCTCAGGATGGGAGGAACGGGTGTCTTGATGATGAGTCTCAATAGTGCAACTTGGATGTATTCCTCATGTAGCTTAATTGTTTTCAAGCCAAAATCTGTAGATTTTCACAGCAGGTGACATCTTGTCTGTTGTCCTCCATAATCCATCTAGCAGAACATTAATTAGATTTCCCCAGTTGAGGGTTACTCTGTTAAAGTTCATTATTCAGAGACTGTAGATTTAGTGAATGTTGGCAAATATCATCCTATGTTAATTATAAGCAGGAAAGGAACACAAAAGTCTGCCAGTCTGCCACGTTGCTGTAATGTTTCCTGATTTCAACAATCACTGATTAGCTGCCTAATGAATGATTTCACTCAAGCTGTTACTGCCGATATAAACACGGAATCACAATGGATTGATACATACTGTGACAAATCATGGTTTGTAGTTCTGATTTTAACATTTTAAAGGGAACTGACAACTAAAAGAGTTGGTGTTTGTGCAGGACCTTGATTCTTTCTCTCAGGGAAGCACAGTGGAGAACTGTAAGATCTTCTGTCCTGTGCATCACACTGAAACATGCCATGTTTCCCTGTGGAGCATTTTTAAAGGGATTTCTTAATCAATTAAATAAGGGATCTAACTGATTGTTCCTTGTGCCTTTTTTTTTTTTTTTCCTGCATCCCTCTGTGTTTTAATTGTATTATGAGATTTTTGCACTGTTTTTTTTTGTTTTTTTTTTGTTTTTGATGGAATAAAAGCTTTTTAAAATTGCCTTGTTTTGCTGTAAAAAATCTGGAACACTATTTTAAAGCAGTCTTCTTTGGGATCTTTGATTTTAGATTTTATTTTTTAATCTTTGGTTGGAGCTGATCAGCAGTTTTCTTTCTAGCAAAGTTTCTCACAACAAAAAGGTGAACAAGCTAACACTGAGATGAAGACATGATGTCCAGAAAAATTGACAATTTACAGGCTCAAGATCCTTTATGTGAGTAAATCTTAATTTAGTTTTCATAGTAATTTGATCAAAGGGACTTGTTATATTAATTTTTATTCCACTACATTTATATGCCAGCTATAGTTAATTTGCAGATTCAGATTTTACACATAAAACATGACATTATAAAATATGCTTTTTTTTTTTTTTATCAATAAAACCGTTCAAAACGTTCCAAATAGACAATAAAATGTAGTTTAATTCATAATGTATTATGAGATGCATAATAAGTGACCTACTTTTACTTTTGATACTTTAAGTACACTTTGGTGTCAGTAACTTCACTTAAATCCCATTTTCAGTACAAGTAAGTAATCTAAATACTTCTTCCACCACTGTTGGCTGGCTTAATAAGAACAGTGTTTATCCTCTCCTGCTTGGAGGTTTAAAATCCTACCCAGTGGCACTCCCAGGCAGCTCCTCTGTGTGAGTCACAAGGTCCAGACGTCTCTGCTCCACTTCCCTCTGTGGGCCAGGGCGTACCTCACCTCCCTTTCTCTCATTCCCAACTCTCTCCAGTTCTCTCTGCGCTGTCCTGAGCTTCTGCCCTTTCATCCCGCAGCCGTCTCCATTACGGTGGATTCATGCTCAGCTCTCGCCCTACTCGGTCGCCATGCAGAACAACCACCAAAAGGAGCACCTCTATAAGATTCTTGTGATAGGGGACCTCGGGGTCGGCAAGACCAGCATCATCAAGCGGTATGTGCATCACAACTTCAGCCCCAACTACCGAGCCACCATCGGGGTGGACTTCGCACTTAAAGTCCTCAACTGGGACCAGGAGACGGTGCGCCTGCAGCTTTGGGACATTGCAGGTACAGTCCAACTTTTACGCACAGGTTCCCATGTAAAGCAGATCCACAGAGGGGCAGATTTCCTGTGATTTAAACTTTATACATGTTTTTTTGAAGTTAGCCACAGCCTAGGACAACAGCCGATTTAGTGTATTTAAATAATAAATACTACACATTTCAAGGGTAGCCCATAATAGGACACATTGTCAAAACAGATTAATATT